TGTGAACGTTATAGCGTCTACAAACTATGATATACATATTGGAATGTATGCAGCTGTAGACAGTATACTAGTAATGGCAGTGATCAGTGACTTATAGCATGACTGTGATAGGGTGGCGGCCAATCTGGTGCTAGCAAACACTGGCTGGAAGGGACCCTAACTGACCAGCTGACATTGACATCGCTAGTGACACTAATACAGTGATTAGTGATACTACTGTACACTGTACATTAGTGACACTGCCTGGGAAAGGGTTAACATCAAGGGGCAATCAAGGGGTTAACTGTGTGCCTAACAAGTGTAATGTGTGCTGCTTTTACTTACAGATCTGGCTGCTTTTTCTCCCTGAACTCAGCGTTGATTTCAGGGAGAAGAAACAGCCAGATTGCTGTCTGTGTAGGGAGTTCTGTGTGTTTGTAAATACATTAGTAGATTTATGAAAGAATGTCTGTACAAACATTTGACCAGTTCAAAATGGTCAAAATTCTGATTAGTACATTCTATGGGGTGGATTTACTAAAGGCAAATAGACTGTGCACTTTGCAAGTGCAGTTGCTCCAGAGCTTAGTAAATGAGCAGAAGCTCTGCTGACTTCTATCATCCAATCATTTGCAAGTAAAAATTATGTTTTTTTTTTATTTTCCTTGCATGTGATTGGGTATTCTTTGCCAAATAAAGCTGTACCTCATTTACTAAGGTCTGTATTAACTGCATGTGCAGAGGTCAACTGCACTTGCAAAGTGCACAGTCTATAGTAAATCCTCTCCAATGACTTAAAATCAGTCTGTATATGCAGTAAAGCACGCTTGTTATACTCACGGTGGAATCTAAGGGGTTAATCCTTCGCATTGTGTAAAAAGGCTATTAATCCTGTCTTCTCTGATCCTCCCCTTCTTCCACAGTCCCCAATCCATCTGCTGATAGTACAGAGCTCTAGGAGTCACTATGCCCATGCTCTGTTTGGTGTGTATGGCTGCAGAGTTGTTTTTTTTTCTTAGGGAGAGTGCATGTGATCAGTACAGGGCCAATCAGTGATGTGCGCACTGAGGGTCAGGGGTTATGCTGCCTCATAGGACAATCAGAGGAAAATTAAAACTTCTCCTACAAGCTTTAGCCAGTGCTCAGCCGGACACTGATAGAAGTCACAAGACTGCTATATACGGCTGATGAGAAATGGTATTTAGCAGTTTATATTTACTAAAATAATTTCCATGTTCTGTGTACTGTGGGAGACCAGATATAGTGAATGCAGGGTCCAGGGAGACCAGATATAGTGAATGCAGGGTTTGGGGAGACCAGATATAGTGAATGCAGGTTCCTGGGAGGAGACCAGATATAGTGAATTCAGGGTCCGGGAGACCAGATATAGTGAATGCAGGGTCCAGGGAGACCTGATATAGTGAATGCAGGATCCTGGGAGACCAGATATAGTGAATGCAGGGTCCGGGGAGACCAGATATAGTGAGTGCAGGGTCTGGGGAGACCAGATATAGTGAATGCAGGGTCCGGGGATAGATATAGTGAATGCAGGGTCCGGGGAGACCAGATATAGTGAATGCAGGGTCCGTGGAGACCAGATATAGTGAATGCAGGGTCCAGGGAGACCAGATATAGTGAATGCAGGGTCCGGGGAGACCAGATATAGTGAATGCAGGGTCCAGGGAGACCAGATATAGTGAATGCAGGGTCCGGGAGACCAGATATAGTGAATGCAGGGTCCGGGGAGACCAGATATAGTGAATGCAGGGTCCGGGGAGACCAGATATAGTGAATGCAGGGTCCTGGGAGACCAGATATAGTGAATGCAGGGTCCGGGGACCAGATATAGTGAGTGCAGGGGTCCGGGGAGACCAGATATAGTGAATGCAGGGTCCTGGGAGACCAGATATAGTGAATGCAGGGTCCTGGGAGACCAGATATAGTGAATGCAGGGTCCGGGGAGACCAGATATAGTGAATGCAGGGTCCTGGGAGACCAGATATAGTGAATGCAGGGTCATTGGAGACCAGATATAGTGAATGCAGGGTCCTGGGAGACCAGATATAGTGAGTGCAGGGTCCGGGGAGACCAGATATAGTGAATGCAGGGTCCTTGGAGACCAGATATAGTGAATGCAGGGTCCGGGGAGACCAGATATAGTGAATGCAGGGTCCTTGGAGACCAGATATAGTGAATGCAGGGTCAGGGGAGACCAGATATAGTGAATTCAGGGTCCGGGGAGACCAGATATAGTGAATGCAGGGTCTGGGGAGACCAGATATAGTGAATGCAGGGTCCTTGGAGACCAGATATAGTGAATGCAGGGTCCGGGGAGACCAGATATAGTGAATGCAGGGTCCGGGGAGACCAGATATAGTGAATGCAGGGTCCTTGGAGACCAGATATAGTGAATGCAGGGTCCGGGGAGACCAGATATAGTGAATGCAGGGTCCGGGGAGACCAGATATAGTGAATGCAGGGTCCTGGGAGACCAGATATAGTGAATGCAGGGTCCTTGGAGACCAGATATAGTGAATGCAGGGTAGGGAGACCAGATATAGTGAGTGCAGGGTCCGGGGAGACCAGATATAGTGAATGCAGGGTCCTTGGAGACCAGATTTATTGAATGCAGGGTCCGGGGAGACCAGATATAGTGAGTGCAGGGTCCGGGGAGACCAGATATAGTGAATGCAGGGTCCTTGGAGACCAGATTTATTGAATGCAGGGTCCGGGGAGACCAGATATAGTGAGTGCAGGGTCCTTATAGTGAATGCAGGGTCCTTGGAGACCAGATATAGTGAATGCAGGGTTCGAGGAGACCAGATATAGTGAATGCAGGGTCCTGGGTTTAGTAACACTTTAAGGAATGTTGCACAAAAGTACTTCAAAATTCCATTCTCTTTTCTCATTTAATTTTGGAGCAAATAGACTTTCATGAATGAAAACCACATTCACAGCTAGAATTCTTTCATTTGAAATTAGAAGTTTTCATTCTGAAGACAAAAGTTTTCTAACATAATTCTACTAATGTATGGCCAGCTTTATAGTCTATTTCATTTAGAAAGCATCCCCGGCCACAGAATAAAAAGTCTGACCCCAGCCAGAATGATGTAGAGGTGGGCCTTTGCTCTCTGGGTGGAATCAGTGGTCTCCCTGCAGAGACTCCCAAATCGGGAAAATAGTGATGAAAAATAACAACACAGGGCTCTTTCAAGGCAATGTAATTGGAATGAGTAAACTTTGGTTCCTTTAATGAGGATCTGTTGGAGGGCGAGTCTGGTGCTAGCCACAGTATGATCCCTGGCGTGGGTGGTGGCCTCCCGCAGCTGGGCATGTGCTTCCCCCCCTTCTATCCTGTGCCCTGTCCAGACCAGGGGCAGATGCTGTATCCCCGGTGGTAAAAAATAGGACTCCAACTCTATTTTGTTGGTTTTCGGAACTGGGGCGATGATTAAAAGGTGCAAAGCTGAAACTTAAAGGATTTGATGGAAGGGCACCACAAGGCATGGTGCCTGAAGCTTAATTTGATTCAACATGGGAAACCTCACTTGGCCAGGATGCAAAAAGGATTGACAGATTGATAGTTCTTTATCAATTCTGTAGGTGGTGGTGCAATTTATATGGCTAATTCCAATTATGAATGAGACTCCTCCATGATAACTAGTTACACAACCCCCAGCGGTCAGTGTCCAACTTCTTAAAGGTACAGGTGATGTTTAGCCACGTGAAATTGAGCAATAACCGTGATGACCTTAGATGTCCAGGGCTGCACACACGCTACACTAAATGGAGTAGCGTATGTCTACCGTTCGCCGACAGTTGCAGATAGCCCGCTGCGTCCCATTCATGATAGGAATCGGAGATTGCAAGTATTTCCCACATAAGAGGAATTCCCAGTAAGTGCGGGTCAGACTCAAAAGCTTGTGTTGATTAAGTCCATGCCCTTTGTAAACCCCCCCCCCCCCTTGTTACTACTGATTGGATAGTTTAGTGAGTTTCAGTGTCAGCGACAGAATTGGTGGTACGCCAAGAAGACAATCAAACGTGACTATCTAGAGGATGTAAAAGTAGTTATAAGGTTCCTACAGGTGAATCTGTGGAGGAGTCATTACCATGAAGGAGCAGGCCCCCTGCATGGGGGGATCCTGTCCTGGAAAAAACCACAAATGAGAGCAGTTGGGGGAGGAGAAGGAGGTGCAACCTGGAGGGGCAGACAGGGCTCAGAGGGCTTGGAAGCTTTGAGCATAGCCAAGGGGTTAGTTTACTGAAGGCTAATAGGCTGCTCAATTTGCAAGAAAAGTTTTACTTTGCAAGGGAATGTTCCCTACAGCTTAGTGAATTTAGTGAATTACCACATAGCAAAGCATACCCAATCACATGCAAAGAAAATAAAATATAATAGCATTTTTGCTTGCACATGATTAGATGTTGGAAGTCAGCAGAGCTTCACCTCATTCGCTAAGCTTGGTGGAAGTACCTTTAAAAAGTGCAACTTCCCCTGCAAAGTGGACAGTTTATTTATATGACATGATGCCCTGAGATCAGTTTTATTTATAAAAAGCTAATTTCCTCAAAATAGGGATGTATTGGAATATCTATGTGTAATTAACCACCTTCCGCCCGCCATATAGTCCAATGATGGGCGCAAGGTGGTTCTCTCGTTCTGATAGGACGTCATATGACGTCCTTCCATTCTCACCACGCATGCGCAGCTCAGGGAGCATGCAGAGCGGCGATCGCCGATGCGCTGTGTCCCTCGGACACAGCGGATCACGGAAAGAGCTGAGGATGTCAGCTCGGTCATGTGATCAGCTGTGTCCAATCACAGTGTGCCCTGATGATCAGTGTGGCCCCAGAAGTGCCACCTGTCAGTGTTCATCAGTGCCAGCTGTCAGTGCTCATCAGTGAAACGTGACAGTGCCCATAAGTGCCACATCAATGCCATATATCAGTGCATACCAGTGCACATCAATGCCACATATCAGTGCCCATCTGAGCTGTCTTTCAATGTCACCCATCAGTGCCAGTCAGTGCCACCTATCAATGCCAATCAGTGCCACCTATCAGTGCTGCCAATCAGTGCCACCTATCAGTGTCAGTCAGTGTCACCTATCAGTGTACATCAGTGATACCTATCAGTGCCAGTCAGTGCCGCCTAACATTGCCAGTCAGTGCCGCCTATCAGTGCCAGTCAGTGCTGCCTATCAGTGCCGCCAATCAGTGCCATATATCAGTGTCATGTATCAGTGCTGCCTTTCAGTGCCCATTAGTGATGACTGTCAATGCCCATCAGTGCAGCCTACCAGTGCCTCCTCATCAGTGCCCATCAGTGCCACCTATCAGTGTCCATCAGTGCAGCCTATCAGTGCCCATCACTGCAGCCTCATTAGCGCACATCAGTGAAGGAGCAAAATCACTTATTTACAAAATTGTATAACAAAAACTAGGAAAAAAACGTTTTTTTTTCAAAATTTTCATTGGTTTTTGGTTTGTTTAAGAAAAAATAAAAATCCCAGAGGTGATTTAATACAACCAGAAGAAAGCTCTATCTGTCTCAAAAAAGGATACAAATTTCATATGGGTACAGTGTTGCATGACCGTGCAATTGTCATTCAAAATGTGACAGCGCTGAAATCTGGAAATTGGCCTGGGCAGGAAGGGGGTATAAGTGTCCTGTAGGCTAGTGGTTAAGGAGCAAATAAAAATCATAAGAGTCCCAAATGGAACAAAAAATAGTGATCTCTCCACAATGCAAAATAATACAAATTTAAAACAAACACAGAATGAACAGAGAGCATATAGTCAGATCCCAGCCTGGCTGACACTCAGGTCTCTATACCAGCCTTTCTCAGCATTTTCAATACAGAGGAACCATTGAAATAACTTTCCGGTCTCAGGAAACCCTTGCTAAAAATTACTTTATCTGCAACTCATGATACAGTAGTGAGATGGTTAGTGGGAAGAATGTTTTTTACACTTGTGGAAATTGGGAAGAATTGCCCACTTATAGACAACCAAAAACATCAATGGTGTCAGTAGCTACTTATCTGAGAGGCAGAAATTGCTCATTGCTCAAGGAACCTATAGAAACCTCTGGAGGAACATTAGAGTTCCATGGAACCATGGTTGAGAGACTCTGCTCTGTACAATGTCTCCCCACAGCTCTTCTCTCCATAAATCTATTACAATTTATCATTTCAAATGGCAAATCTAAAACCAATAAGAGCCCAGTGATTGACAGGAATGGAGCGCTCAGCAAAAATTTAAAGACAAGCTCCAATAACTCAAACATACATCTCTGCCAATAATGATAACCCTTAGCATTCTACCGAGCACTATTTCATTCTATTTCATGACGGTTTCTTTAAGAAAAAAAATAGTCATTGCATTTAATCCTGATAAGTTGCGTGAACCTAGGTTTTTTAGCACAGCGTAAAAATTATCCTTTTATTTCCAAAGCACGCCATCTATTCCCCTTCATGTTTGTTCCAAAACAAAGGATTATATATTGCGACGGCACTGAAAGGGGTTAACCTTAACAAGGAAAAGGGGAGAAAAAAAATGAAATTAACTACAGTAAAAACCCTTGAAATACAATGACACGAGCCCCGCGCTCTCCCAGAGAAAACACGATGATAAACCACCACAAAGACGAGCGTTATGAATTTTATTAATGACTAGAAGACAGTGCGCAAAACATCAAAGGTCTGCGGAAAAGATTAATGACCCCGTGTGAGACTGTTTAATTACCTCCAGCTAATTAGATTCTTGACCAAATTTTTAATATCTGCATTCCTTCTAAAGCCTAATTGAGACTCCACATTATTTATCAATCTTTCAAAAAGGCCTGAGCGAACCGCTTTTTGTGCAATTTTTTCCCCGGTGCCCTTTGACTCCTTTTATGGTCAATTATTAAATAAATAGGAAAGTAACTATTCTGTCTGCAGTGTGTGAGCCAAGCACTTTAGGCTTGTTTATTTTGACAGCTGATATTTTCTGTATGCTTTGGAGATTTATATATATATATATATGTATATATATATATATTTGTATAATATTAGAATACAATTGATGTGTGTGCGTGCTTTACATAAGCCTCATGAATCACTATACTAAGCTAATATAATTTATTTTTATTTTCATTTTCCTTAAGGTATTAACTTACTTTTTGTTTTACATTTTACATGATATGCAGATTTCTGTAGAAAACATTGCAGTCAGCATTGTAGCTGATCAGCTGGTATCAGAATAGCTAGTCTGCTGAACAGGGTACTTGAATGGAGCATTGTATTTTGCATAAGGGGGTCACTAACATCCCCATTACTAAATTAAAACTAATTATGGAATGTCCACTCTGCAAAGTGTTACATACAAAAAACAGTGGCATTCAATTCCCACACAATATTACCAAGTTATACTGTACAAAGTGAATGGTCACCTTGCTAATGGAGTTCTGCTTGAACGTGATTTGACAATTTAGAGAAAAGCCTAATTATGTTTATTCCAAAAAATGCCCCCCCCCCCCACACACACCTACAGTATCCTGTCTACCCTGTATAAAAATACCTGTTTATGTACCTATTTTAAATCCACTCCAGTCTAGTCACATGTGTAGCACCCTGTCCTACTATCTAAATTGAATCATGATGGATGGCAGTTAGCCCAGACTGATTTAGAGTCTAATTGTTTCGCTTGTTTTCCCATAAATTCAGTGGAGCTGTGGTTTCTCCCTTCTGTCAGTACGTTTTACTGGTACTTCTGATATCAGTATAAGAAGCTATAGCAAAACTGAGTTATGAATATTCTTGCTTCCCCTAGCCAACCAGTAAGAGGTTTAATGCCAATGGTGCATGCTGGGGGAGAGTATAAATACTTTGGGGCAGGCCAGCTGTGGTCTGAGGAGGGAGTGTGAGGAGCAGCTAGATGATTAGACTCAAGTCTTACTGCACATGTGTATGGAACATAAAAAGTCTGCCTATCCAGTGTGTCCGGTTGCTTGAGGCCCTGGGTTGATGTAGTGTTGCAGAGGACAAGAGAAGAGAAAACGACATCTGAGATGAAGTACCAGAGGTGATGCTACTCCTTGAGGTTCTAGGGAGCCGAAACTTGTGGGAAGGATGGGAAATCATCAAGATGGGATCATCGAGGCTATTTCTACTGCTACTGGGAGTTGACTGCTGCTAAAAATCTACAGGCTGCTGGATTCCACTTAAAGACCCTTTTCCTGTACTGGTTTCAATTGGTGTGCTATTGAGTATGTAGGCCAGTAATGGGTGTTCTGAGCTCCTTACCCCTCTCTCCCTGGAGTTTTGTGTGTGAGCTTGTAAAACTTTTGGTTCACCAGAGGTGAATATCTGCCAAGAAGTGTCCAAGTCTTGCTCCAAATATAACTTGACTAATATGGGGCATGGCAGACATACCAACTCTGTACCTGCCCAGTAATGTCCCCCAAGTACCGTATTGCCAAAAAGAGAAAGAAGATAGAGAATATAGTGGGCGCTAAAAGTCAACTGGAATATGATTGATAATCGCAAGAGAACATTGCTGCTTGTAGTCTAGAATGTTAGTCATATAAATTGTGCCCAATAATAATGTCTAGGTGCAAATCACTGTAAAACTCAATAAAAAAAAAAAATTAAAAAAAATTAAAAAGTTGACAAAAAAATCTAACTACATGTAAAAAAAGTTAACTTGAAGTTGACCTTGATATTCACATTACCTATATGTCGATTACCACTAAAATGAGCACTCCCAAATTTGTATATGAAACAAAAATCAAAATGTGGTAAAACAGTAAAAATTCTGAAGCTGCATCCAAAATTCCAAAAATAATGCAAGTGATGGCAATATTTTACCACTTCCCTTGAAACTTGTTTAAAGTACTGATTATCTTGAATATCTAAAATCACTTAGTTTTGTATAGAGTGTGTATTGGTTAAAGCTTTAAAGTTTTCCTGCTGATTGTGTCTCCACTGGGGACTGGGAGTTTATATCCTCTATAAATGTATTTCTTCTCCAATATCTTGAACAGGAATAGATGTGTAATCTTCCAAAAGAGACAGCTATACTAGAAAGGATCATATCCTCTTGAGAGATCCCCTTACAGTTCCTGATGTGCTTCTGGAATAGGAAGTCATGGAACATTTCCCCAATAGGTCTTTGATGTGGAACTTTATCCTTAACAACTTGATAAAAAATAATGTTCTTTAGCAAGGAACATATATTCCACATTAATAATGATGCCACCAAAATTAGTGTGTGTTGCAAACTGCCTCCAGTATTGTTCCTGTTTCTTCTTGCTGGAGGCTTCTATTTTGCTGAAGCCCAAAGCCCCTGAGTAGCAGTAAATCTTTAGACTGGCAGTGGATCAGTCTTTACAAATTTGGCACAGTGCCCAAAAATAGAGAACATCTGAGCATGTGTAGAGCAGGGTGACACAATGTATTACTGGATTTTAACTCCTTCCCACCCGGCCTACTGCAATATGATGGCCGAGCGGGAACCTTATTATCTTGGGAGGACTATGTGCTCCGGCGTGATCTGTCATTGGCACTGTCCACGAGACATGGCCAATGACAGATCACTACCCCAGCTCGCTTCCATTGTCATGTGATCGTTGTGACCAATCAAAGCAGATCATCACATAACAGTTGTAAACAATGAATGGCTTCCTTTCATGCCATTCACTGCTTACAACTGTGCTGCGAGCTGTGATTGGTCACTGTGATCACATCAAAGCCCATCTGTAGCATGTGATCAGCTTTGGTCAATCACAGCTAATCACTAATCACAACAATAACTACTGAATGAATCAGTTTCATTCAATAAAAATGCTTGAAATTGGTTGGTATAAGCAATCATAATGTCCTGGCATTTTTGAGTTTCAAGAAATTAGATCAGCCGTCAGTACATCAAGATTGATCAATTGTTAGACATATACCATAGCTTGTGGACTCTAGAACTTTCCTACCAACTAAATAATAAACACTGCTTTGGGTTATTTTCACCCAAAGACATGTAGCAGAATACATTTGGGCCTAACTTTGTGTAGAAAGATTATTTATTTGCAAAATGTTATAACAGAAATGAAGAACAAGGCTTTTTTTCAAAATGTTTGGTCTTTTTTTTTCGTTTTTTTTAGTGCAAAAAAAAGCGATGATTAATCACTTTCCAGCCACCCTATAGCAGATATAGGGCGACAAGGGTGCGCAAAATCAGGTATATATTCGTGATTTTGCATTTCCGGGTAGGGGGGCGTGCATGCTGCCCTACACGCACCGCCCTACACCCACCACTATTGGTGGCTACAGATGTCAATCACCAGGTGATTCCCTGCCGGCAGTAACACAGGTCTCT